TTATGGACAGAATTTCTAGTTGCAGCCAAGGTGTTGAGGGGATCCATTTTGGTGGCCTTAGGATTGCATCTCTGACATTTAACACAGGGTGATCGGATTTAGATCTAGTTTTTCATTGATGCTGATTCTGTTTATGCTTTTTGATATTTTTTCCTTGACTTTTGGCACAACGTGATCTGATTTAGTATTTTAATGTTTCTAATTGTTTTTGGTTTTATATTTTTATTCCATGTGCTGTAAATATATCTTGCTACTTTTTATTTGATGTTGTGATATTTTTGTTAAGCACTTTGGTAACAGTTTCTGTTTTAAACATGTTCTATAAATAAATATGATTTGACTTGACTCTGCTTTTTGCAGATGATGTGGTCCTATTGGCTTCATCAGATCTTGATCTACAGCTTTCGCTGGAGCGGATTGCAGCAGAGTGTGACGCGGCTGGGATGAGGATCAGTTCCTCCAAATCTATATATATATATACAGGTCCTTCTCAAAAAAATAGCATATTGTGATAATGGTCATTATTTTCCATAATGTAATGATAAAAACGAAACTTTAAAATATTTCAGATTCATTGCACACCAACTGAAATATTTCAGGTCTTTAGTTGTTTTAATACTGATGATTATGGCATACAGCTCATGAAAACCCAAAAGGCCTGTCCCAAAAAATTAGCATATCATGAAAAGGTTGTCTAAACAAGCTATTAACCTAACTATCTGAATCAACGACGTAACTCTAAACACCTGCAAAAGATTCCTGAGGCTTTTAAAAACTCACAGCCTTGTTCATTACTCAAAACCGCAATCATGGGTAAGACTGCCGACCTGACTGCTGTCCAGAAGGCCATCATTGACACCCTCAAGCAAGAGGGTAAGACACAGAAAGAAATTGCTGAACGAATAGGCTGTTCCCAGAGTGCTGTATCAAGGCACCTCAGTTGGAAGTCTGTGGGAAGGGAAAAGTGTGGCAGAAAACACTGCACAACAAGAAGAGGTGACCGGACCCTGAGGAGGATTGTGGAGAAGGGGCAATTCCAGACCTTGGGGGACCTGCGGAAGCAGTGGACTGAGTCTGGAGTAGAAACATCCAGAGCCACCGTGCACAGGCGTGTGCAGGAAATGGGCTACAGGTGCCGCATTCCCCAGGTCAAGCCACTTTTGAACCAGAAACAGCGGCAGAAGCGCCTGACCAGGGCTACAGAGAAACAGCACTGGACTGTTGCTCAGTGGTTCAAAGTACTTTTTTTAAATGAAAGCAAATTTTGCATGTCATTCGGAAATCAAGGTGCCAGAGTCTGGAGGAAGAGTGGGGAGAAGGAAATGCCAAAATGCCAGAAGTCCAGTGTGAAGCACCCACAGTCAGTGATGGTCTGGGGTGCCATGTCAGCTGCTGGTGTTGGTCCACTGTGTTTTATCAAGGGCAGGGTCAATGCAGCTAGCTATCAGGAGATTTTGGAGCACTTCATGCTTCCATCTGCTGAAAAGCTTTATGGAGATGAAGATTTCATTTTTCAGCATGACCTGGCACCTGCTCACAGTGCCAAAACCACTGGTAAATGGTTTACTGACCATGGTATTAATGTGCTCAATTGGCCTGCCAACTCTCCTGACATGAACCCCATAGAGAACCTGTGGGATATTGTGAAGAGAAGGTTGAGA